ATTCTCATCTTTTTATAGTTTCGGTTAAGGTTTCGGTAATTAGAATCAAATTAATTCAATCTCTGTGGGTACGATATCCGGAATTTTCAATTCCACTTTATTACTTGTTACGAACCGTACACTTGCGGTGATTTAAAACGAACAATAATTTTCGTGTACAGCTGACAATTAAAAGAAAGGTTTACACGATTGTGTAAGGAACAAACCTCTTGAGACAAAGTCTCAAAAAGGAGTGCTTTATTGATGAAGATTATAATTGGAAAGAAACAGAATGCCTCCAATGGGCGCAAGCACATGAATACTAAGAATAGATAGTTTAAAGTTAACTAACAAATGAAATTACATATTTTATGTTGAGAGCGTTTGATTCGGAGTCTTTTCTTCTATGTCTTCCTTTTCTTTTTATACTCTTTTGATAGTTTCTTTGTGAAAAACTGCTTAGAAACTGTTTGGTATTCTATAACTACCCACTTTCTTCATAATGGCTGACTTGTCATGGAACTGGCGTCTCTAACTGTTGCCATTACTCTTGTCGTTTAACTTCCTGCAATCGGGATTCTTGGATCATGGGGTGTGATAAGATTGCTCAATAACTGCTTCAATAACTGCTGTACTAGATAACCATAATACCTTATATTCGCTCAAATCCTGGGCGACTCAAAGGTTCGGGCGAGAACAGTATCATCGCTCTGAGTGACAGTAAGGCGCTCCATTCGCTCAGACCCTGGGCATCTTGCAAGCTTGGGCGATGATGGTACTTTGTTCGTGGGTCTCCACTGCATTCCATAATGATCTTGTTTGGACCTTCATCCTGAATTTCCTAATTAAGCTTCATTTCTTGAACTATTCAATTTGGGCTATACTTTTTGTATGTCAACAGTAATTAAAAATAAAACATGTTAAATCTTATCTATGTTTTTCATTTCTCTTGTTATAATGAGTGTTCTAAAAAGGGTAAAGAGTGGTTAAGAGTGTAGGCAAAGTTTCAAACTTTACGAGCTTAAGTGAAACTAGACGAAGCGTAGGCATAAAAAAACATTTTCTCATTTTAATATTATTTTAAATTTTTAATTACTCTAGCTAAAATCATTTAATAATTAAAATAAAATATACCAAGCATCTAAGATTGTAAAATAATGTATTTATTTAATAATTAGTCAATTATACAATTTTTAAGTTTTTGAAATGTAAAAATTAGACTATTTTTCATACTTTCCATTTTCAACTAGACAAGTCACATTTAATAAATTTATAGGAACTTTATACTTGCTTTCCGAGTTTTTAACAAAATAATGAATCTCAATATCATAATTACATAATGTAGATAACATTGTAATTTAAATTTTATTTAACTCTTTATTGGATAAAGTCATTTTTTACTTTTATACATATAAAGCCTTATAAAAACCAGAAATTAAATTCAAATAAAAGGTTTTTTTTAAATAAAAATTTAATAAACTAAAGTCAAATAAAAGAACTCTTGAAAAAAAAAATAATAAATAAAAAAGCGTCTAGGGAAGACGTAAGGGTGGGAGGAAAAAATCCAGTCGTTTATGAATGGGGAAAAAATAAAAAATAAAATCTAAGTGCAAAGCGATGCGCTTTGCTTGAGCTTCGAGCCTAGGTGGCCTAAACGAGTTTTTTAGAACACTGGTTATAACTGACCCCACAATAGGAAAATGATACTGTTATAACTAACAATTAAAATGAAGACATGACAACTTTTATAATGATGCCTCCTCTCTGTCCCTTTTCAGCTGCTTCTTCCTCCTCGTCATTTCTTTTCAAGTTTTAATTCGTTGTTTTGTGTGTGTTTCTTTTCTCTTTTTACATTCTCTCATTATACATCTATTTTAATTTTAAAAAAACTTGTTCACTTTGTTTCACTTTTTTTTTTTTTTTTCCTTTTTTAATTGTTACTACTTGGCAAATATTTATTTTCTATTTTATTTTATTTGACTAATTTGATTTGAGTATTAAAATAAAATATTCTCCACACCTTACTTTTAGGTATTTTTATGCACGAAAAACAATTGAACATTATTAAAAAGGAAAAAAAATTGATTTGGTGACTCAATTTTTAAGTAGCATGTATTGAGCTCGACTGTAGATAAGTAAGTACCTTTATGTAATTCGATAAACTTAAAAAGTTGTAAAGAAATCAAGTAGTAGGAAAATGACAATTTTGTTATGTATATTGAAAATATGTACTAAAAATAAAAACTATAATGAAAATATTATATGACATATTAAAAGTATGAAAATCAACAAGGAACAATTGTAGGTAAGAGATTTATTATATTTTTGTCTTATTTGACAAAAAAAAAGGTTTTTAGTTAAATTTTGAACTCGGACTGAATCCTAGGCCGTCCCTTCTACAGTGTTATGTAAAGATCTGCAATGGTGTCTCGAACTAATTACTCTGCTACTACACCATGCTGTTTTACAAAATTTAAAGTAAAGCCCTGGGATGACTAATAAGAACTCATTCGCACATTTCATACAAATGCTTTCAGCAAAATAACTACAAGTGAATCCAGCAAAAATGTGTGATAAATTTCATAATATATTGTGGCAATGATAATCTAGATGGTGCAATCAATAGTTTGATCTTGTTTCTTACGATTCTCCGCCCTGCTTTTTTGAAGTTCTTTCTCACTGGCTGCAATCAGACGCTTGACAGAGTCGAAGGTTGTAATACTTATGCTGTGCAGCTGTGAAGAAAATGGAGAAGGAATTATTAACCACAAAAAATCTAAACTCTTGTCTTAACACTTTAAAAGATCCCTTCAACGAAAGGAAAGAATTCCAATAAAAGGGGAAAGGGATATATAAACGGAGGTAGCAAAAGTAAGAGACATAAACCTGCTGTTTGGTAGTGTTTTTAATGCATTCGGCACAAACCACCCGTACAATCACAGCCAGCCATCACGAGCTACAATACCTAAATCGCATTGTTTATTGAATGATTAGCAACTTCTAGCTGGAAACTCAGAGATTGCAATTTCATTTAATTACATCACATTCATCTGTGACTATATACAACTAACAAGACTTTAAATGGCAAAACTGTAATAGAATTATTATCTCTGACTACCTTTGTGCTGATCTGATGCAAGTCACAATGTTGGCGTGTAAGAGTGTGTGTTATTACTGTAGTTTGTAATGTGTAAACTTGTGCAGGAGCTCGTGTTTAAGTAAATTTTCCCACTTCTGAGATATATTTCAGTCATTGCTCAATTAACCTTAAGTTTACCAAATTCACTGAGAAATTGATGAAATAGTTAATGGGCTTAGTATTATATTACCTGGAATGGCATCCAAAATTGTCTTGGAAGGAGTACCCCTCATTTGCATTTGTCGCCTAACCGTGTCCAGAGGAGCATGTGAGTGTGGCTATTGTGGCTGAGATCAACGCTGTTGCCATGGATGTTTCCATCCTATTTTGATATTTCGCAGGCAGAGCCTCTTCACCCTGGCATTCAGAACAGATTCAGAGTTAGAGATATTTTCGACTTAGCATGTTTGGCTAAACTTAAAAATTCACTTATAAACGTTCTCTTATTCAAACTTAAGTAGCTATTAATTGGGATAATTGCTAAAAGAGTAATCTCACAAGTCAAAAACGCAAAAATTGACGGCAATGTAACTATGTAAGGAGCAATTCCAATAAGAGAAGGTCCTAAACCATTATAAAAGGACGCAACTCCTTCCTCTCTCAACATGTTCGAGGCCACCTGAGAAGAATGCATAGAACTCATTATCAAATGTGGAAAACCCTTGTGTTACGAATTAGCACAAATCAAATAGCTTTACCTCTGACATTGTTCTATATCCAGGTTCAACAGCCAACCTTAACCTAAAGGACATCTAGAGGATGTGTAACCTACAAAGACAAAATATCAGAAGATATAAACATCTGATGAAAGTAAATAAACTTGGTTTTCGCGTGTGTTTTTTCTAAGAGAGAAATGTAGTGATCCTGAATAGCATTGTGGACATCAAGTTTTTGCTGTGTGTTCGCAAGAAGTTCTTATGTGCCTCTAGCACCACTTAAGTATATAGTACTAATTGAAAAACTCACACCAAGAAAATTCACCATGAAAAACACATTAGCATGGAGGCCACAGACTCAGAGTAATCTAACAAGACCTAGTTTTTAGTCTCTGTATTTTTTTTTTTGTAACTTACAAAAGTTGAAGTCATGCCAGCACAAGCGCCTGCTGCTAATCTTCCAATTACAGAAAGATCCCCGTCCGATCCTCGAAAAAGTTTCTGGAAAATGAAATATCAATTTGTCATATAAATGCAAATGTCATATGATGCTATACTTCTTTCAGAAGATAGTTTCACCATCACCTTGCATGTTTCATCGGCAAAAAGTTGTGCGCCGCTATAAGGTATGATCTATATCACCTAGAGTATTAAAGGGAAAAAATGAACAAAAAATCATCTTTAACCACATCTAGAATTATCGAATGACTGCAGAAAGAAGCTCTTACTTGACACTAAGAGGAAAAAGGAACAGCATACATGGGGAAGATTTCCTTTCCAGTATCCCTTAATTCCTTCCTCCTCCCCAATTAATGTGAAGGCCTAAACAAATTCGAAAGGTTAAGGATTTGGAATCATTTTACAATATAAGGTGAAAAATATAGAAGTAGCATTTTGTGAACAATGCAAGAACGGAAAGAGAAGCTAAAAAAGACTTTAAACATGACCCAAATGAAATGCAACCGACTGAATAAGAAATCACCTATCAGTAACCACGAGTCAAAAAATATGTCCAAGAAAAAAAAAAGTTGCATGAAGAAAGATAATAGAGAATGGCTGGATATTTGGACAATGAAACAATGCTCAAGCTTCCCAAACAAAATGGGAAATGCAACTGCATCAACACCTTTAGCAGTGATGTTACGAACTATGAAAAAGACTATTCAGAAAATGATGAACTAATCTAGCAGATCACTCATATTACAATCAGGAAAAGAAATATGCAGGCAGTTAGGTTTGAGCATATGCAGCACATACGTACGAACATTGTGTTTTCTTAGGGAGTTACATGATGAGTCAAGCCATTGCAGCTCAGTACCAATCGACACTGGACTTATAGATCTTCTCCAGCTCAGTAAGTGAGTTAGTTTAATTTCGTGATTAAAGGATACTGGATCTGATTTCAGTTAAATACAGTGATAACTAGTCTATATATTGAAACCATAAGCTTGCACAATTTTAGTCTCAAGACTGCGCATAGCCTACAATCACTTTTCATCTTGTTTACTAGCTTCAGAGGTTCCTCAAATCGGGTAGCTTGCATCTTCTCTTCCTTGCAATTTTCCTTAACATAAGCACTGGTTTTCTATTTTTCTACTTATCTAGGAATGGGAACACAATGGCAAAATTTTGTAGGTGTGGATGGTAAATCTTTTATCCATTAGGGTCCGTTTGATTGTAAAG